TCATGGAATCGTATGAGAGATCGATCCACTTCTGATGGGATCGTTTTAGTGTGTTAGTGGTGAATCCATCTCTGATAGAACCACATTCGGGATGGATCCACATGTAATGGAATCCGTTCAGGGATGAATGCGCTTTTCGTCGAATCATTTTACAGATGGAGCCACCTCTAATATAATCTCAGTACATATGGATCCACCTGTACAGCAACCATTACATATGCATCGACCTCCAATAGATTCTTAGTACGTCCGGATCCACGTCTAATGGGATCCGAGTAGAAATTGACCCGCCTCAACTGGGATCTTATTGTGGATGAGCCCACCTCTAATGGAATCCTGTTACAGATAGCCCCGCCTCTCGTATAATCTTATTACACATAGATGGGCCTTGCATATAGTCGCATTACATATGGATCCACCTCTAGTATAATCGCACTACAGATGAGCCCACCTCAAAGAGAACCCTATTACATATGGGCCCACCTTTCGTAGTACCCGATTAGGAACCGATCCACCCCTGACAGAATCTTTGTACAGATGGGGCCACCTCTATTACAATCCTATGGCATATGGATCCACCGCTAATGGGGTCCCATAAGGGATGGGTCCACAACTAATGGAGCCCCAGTGGATAGGGACCCACCTTTAATGGAGCCCTGCCACGGATGGGTCCACCTCTTCGAGAACCCTTTCTTACAGATGGGCCCAAGTGGAATAAAATCCCATACTAGATTGGCCCACCTGTAATAATATACTCCTATGCGCGATGGATCCACCTCTGATAGAATCCAAGTAGAGATAACTGCTTCTTGTATGGGATCCAATTACATATGGATCGGCCTCTAATCGAATCCTATTAGAGATGGTCCCATATCCAATGGAATGTTCGTAGATATTGATCCACCATTCGAATCGCATAACAAATGGATCCACCCCGAATGGAATCCGAGTAGAGATGGGTCCACCCCGAATGGAACACGAGTAAGGATGTATGCACCCCATATAGAATGCGATTAGAGATGGATCCACTTCTAATGGAATCCCAACACGGATGTGTCCACCTCTAATGGACTATTATGACAGTTGGCCCCACCTCTCATATAATATCATTGCATATGGGCCCACCTCTGTTAGAATCTTACCAAGGATGGGTCCATCCCCATTAGAATCCGATTGGCCAAGTACCCGCACTGGATGGAATCCGATTAGACATGGACCGCCTCTAATAGAATCTGATCGCACATGGACCCACCTCTGATGATGTCTTATTACAAACGGATCCGCCCCACATGGAATCCTATTACAGATGAACCCACCCCCAAGAACATCCTACCATATATGGAACCACAGTTAACATAATCCTGTTACATGTGCATCCATCACTGATGGGATCCGATTACACCTGGATCCACAACTCATGACATCCTATGATAGATGGGCCCACTTCGACTTCAAACCTATTACATATGGGTCCACCTCAAATTGCATCCTGACATATATGGGTCCACGTCTAGTCGAATCCTACTGCATATGGGTCCACCTCTAATCGAAGTGTATTGGAGATGGATCCACATCTAATAAAACTATATTAGAGATGGATCCACCCTTAATGGGGCCCAATTGCATACGGGTCCACCTCTAATATAATCCCATTCGGGATGGACCCACTTTTATCATATCCCCATCAGGGGTGGACTCACCCCGGATGGGACCCTACCGGAGTGAAATCCACCTCGAATGGGGTTTTGTCAAAGATCGGTCCACCCCGTATAGAATCTTACCACATGTGGACCCACCTCTGATGGAATTCTGACAGAGATGGACCCACTTCGAGTGGGAACCTTAACATATGGATCCACCTTTAATGAGAGCCGATTCGTGGAGGACCCATTTTTAATCGGATCCCATCAGAGATGCATCCACCTCTAGCGGGATCCCAAATACAGATGGAAATACTTCTAATATAATCTTATTACAGATGGAGCCACCTCTAATCATATGGGTCCACGTCTAATGGAATCCCACTAGAAATGGATCCACTTTTGATGGGATCCGATTCCCGGTGCGTTCATTTCTGATAGAATCCTATTAGAGATGGATCCACATGTATTGGAACCCGTTTACAGATGGAGCCACCTTTTAATATAATCAGATTACAGATGGATCCAATTTCCACCATAATCTCATTACACATGGATCCATCTCTCATTTAATCCTATCACATATGGATCCACCTCGAATAAAATCTTATTGCATATGGATCCACCTCGAATGGAATCCGATTAGATATGGATCCCTCTCCCTCATCTACTTTCCCATCTCCTTAGTTCCTCTTGCTCTTCCTCCATATTCTCCCCTCGCCCTCGCTTCCCCTCTCGTCTTGTCTTCCCTCCTCATGCTTCCGCTTTCTTATACGAGCTGCTTCCTTTAACCAGCATCTTCGAACACATAGCTTGATTTAGAGGGGTTCCAACTACTCCCCGCCTCTTGTTCTTTGCAGGGGCGATTAAACATATAGACGTGAAGATAAAGAGAGAGTGGGAAGAGAGAGAGAGAGAGACTGATAGAGAAATGAAGGAAGAGGCCAAACGAAATCACAGCATACATACATATATCGGAGTCGGAGAAAGGAGATTGATAGAGAGAGAGAGAGAGAAATAGAGGAATAAGTCAAGGAGGACATCGAGAGGAAGAACAAGAGAAGCTCGGGAACCTTACAACATGGAGACGGCCCCTTTAGGGCCCCAAAGGGTGCCTTTGGGGCCCAAGAAGTGCGCCTTCCCCCCCCCCCATTTCACTGCCCCCCACTAATCGAGGCCAAACTGACGATGCTGGCCTTTCCTCTCCGCTTTGCTGGAGCAGCGGCGCGCCAACCGAATGTATATTTACATCGTGTGGGGCCTGGGAGACGAGAACGGCGGGGTAGAGCAGGCAGGGAGGCATCAGATGGCATAAGCACGCGTCTTGTGTTTAGGCACCTCCTGCCTGATCACATAAACAATACCGTCATCCATACGGTGGGTCGTTCCCCGTGGGGAGATCCTTCACTCTGCCCTCGTGGGAACGTCGTGTGTCCTCGAGCGTCTGTCTTAAGAGTGCATTCGCGTGCGGTAGCGTCTGGTGCTCGACGAGCAAGCGCCGATTTGGGGTCGATCAGCGTCGACTTGCGCCGATTGAGCGTCGGCCAGCATCGACTCGCGAGAGCCAGCAGGAAGTCCCGATCCCCTCCTACGCCTCCTCCTCCTCCTCCTCCTCCTCCTCAGCCTCCCCCTCTTCCTCTTCCCCCTCTTCCTTCGCCTCTCCCTCTGCCTTCGCCTCCTTCGCTTCCTGCTCCTCCTCTTCCTCCTCCCCCTCCTCCTCCTCCATTCCGTTCCCTTATAATAGATAACTCTTCCCTGTCGCCGTGAGCTGCCGCCGACGAGGCGCCCGCACGCCGCCCCAGATCCGATTCTGCGCACCGCCCCCCGCGGCCCGCGCCCCACAGGGAGCTCCGGCCTCGGCCACTCCCTTGGGAGTCTCCGCGCACCGCCCCCCCGCGCCCCTCCGGCTCTCTGCCCCCGCGCGCTCCGCACCGCGTGGGGGCTCCACACCTCTGAGCCTCCGCGCACCGCCCCCGCGCCCCTCCGGCACTCTGCCCGCGCGCTCCGCACCGTTTGGGGGCTCCACACCTCTGAGTCTCCGCGCACCGTCGCCGCGTCCCTCCGGCACGCTGCCCCCGCGCGCTCCGCACCGCGTGGGGGCTCTACGCCTGCGCCTGCGCCCCCGGTCGGGGCGCCCGCACGGCAGGGCGGCACGCGGCTCGCAGGGGGCCCCGTCTTCTTCCGCCGGGGGCCCGGCTGACTGGGGGGGGGGGCCTGCAGGCCAGTCTTGCTCCCCCCCCCCCCACACCAAAGCTCTTCGCGCTGGCAGGGAGCTCCGCGCGTCCCCCGGTTCGCCCTGTCCCTCCACTCCTCCTGCCCCACTTCTACTCCTCCCTTTTCTCGACTGGGCGTGAGAGTGACCTTTCGCCGGAGTGACCCTTGGTGCGGGCCCAACGGGGTCCCCGGATTGCCGAACGCGATGCGGTAGTAGCGTCTTGCGCGCTCGTGTTGGGTTCCCCCGCGGCCCTTCAAAAGCCGCGCACCGAAGGTCACTCTTACCCAGGGTCACTTTTGCGTGTAGTCGACTTTCTCCTCTTCCTCCGCGACGGCTGTGGCGGCGGAATGATATTTTGCCAATGATGGTTGGGTGTCGGCTACCTTCAATTCGGCCCCAGAACCACTGATCCTTTGCCCACTTTGGGGGTGCGGGTGCTACAGACCTATCGCGGTTACTGCCCCTGTAGGGGCGCCCGAATGGTGTGCCCGCTTCAATTCGGAGCATTTCCCACGCGGATCGTGCCCTATAGGGAGCTGGCCCTGCTTCCTTCCCGCCGCACGCAGCACAGGAGGAGAGCGCCCCCACCCAGCGCTAGACGCAGCTGCATTGAGCTCCGTTGCCCATTGAGCAATCCTTGCGACAGTCAGCAGCTCCAGGTGTTATGATTGTAAGTTAGCCCTTCGATTTGTTGTGCGGATAGGATTGGAGAGTCTACAGCATTTTTCAGCTTCTTGAGGATGCTTTTTCCTGGGCCCCCTGTGGTTCTCTCCCCGGGGGGATCCCATCGTCTCCCTGCGTCGGTTTCGAGACCCTTGTCGATACGAATGGTTCCCCCAGGTGGGCAAGGAACACAGCTTCCCGACGCCAGCGAGGAAGACGACGGAGGTCGACGACGACGGCCGACGACGACGCCGACGCAGCCCTTTGCGCTGGAAGGCCGTTGAGGGTCGCCGAGGGCCGCCGAGGTCTGCTATCGGCCATCGATGGCCGCCCTGGGCTGTTCACCTCCCGCGGGCGGCGCAGAGCCGCTGTCGTGTCGTCGTCGTCGTCGGCCTCGGTGTCGGTCTGGGTCTCGGCCTCGTCGGCTTGGTGGCCGTCCGACCGCGTCGCAACGGGGGCCAGTGCCGCCCACTGCCACCGAG